GGGTTTAGTGGTGGGATGGCAGGGTTAGGTTAAAGGTTGGACTCGATGATCTCAGAGGTCTTTTCCAACCAAAGTGATTCTATGATTCCGCAAAGGCAAGCGCAATGGGGAAGATCGTGGTGGGACACGGGTGTGGGCGTGAGGGGGCTGGACTCGGGCCCAGCAAAAACAACTGTTCTGATTTTCTCCTTTTCCCTCTACCCCATTCTTCAAAGATTTAAGGCTATTTAACCCTGTAATCATATTCACGCAGCAAACCCAAAAGCCTCCTAACCTTTTTGCTTTTAATTCTCAGATTTACGTCTCCTTGCTGCTTTGCCTTGGAGCCGGTTGTGCAAGAGGGAACGCTCGGAGCTGAAGCAATACTGACGCTGTGGTTATCAGTAGGCTTAAAAAGCTAAAAAGCTTTAAAGGAAGGAGCTCTGCTGCTTCTCCGCTTGTTCCCCTGCCCCTAGGTTTTGAAGTCACGCCTCTCTGGCCGTGCGCCGTTAGTGCCCAGGCTGCCAAATCTGAAACGGGGCCCAGGGAAAGGGTCTTGCTGTCCTCCTGAAAGCCGCTGCCCAAGCCTGGGACAGCAGTGCAAATCCTGCCTGGGTCTAGGTCCTACTGCAGTGATTAATTCCTAAGATGCTAAAATTAATTCCTTTGTTTCAGCCCATAGAGACGCAGCTGCTTTCTGCTCTTGGCTGCTTAAGACATGAGAGTGAGGTGCGGAAGAGGAGGAACCTTCTTCCCTCGGCAAAACAGCGCGAGGGCTGCCGGTGATAAACCTCCGTGCTTTTGGAAACCCCTCCTTTTGCTCCTCTGGAGGGAGTCAGGCTCTAACATTTGTCGGGAGCTCTGCGTGCTCCCAGGGAAGAGAAGTCAAGCCCGGGGAGGTGGAGAGGGAGCACCAGGGTTAGCCAGAGGGCAGGAGCCTGGCTCTGGGGCCTGGGATGCCCACCTTGCAGCCCCCCCTCATGACACCCCACGTTTAGGGCAGGGTTGGGAGCTTTCCTGGCCACTTCTGTTTTACATGAATGTTAGCTGACATTGAGAAACCTTTGCCCTTCTCCCGGAGACTCGGGCCAGACGAGTGCTCTTTAGGCTATTTTGGGATTCATTCTGTAATTGTACATGATGCTAAGAGCACTGTGGGTCTGCGTGCCTGTGGCATGCTGGGGCTGAGGGGGTGCAGGGGGTGCAGAGGGTTGGGCTCATGCATACGTTTCGGGTAGCAGTGTCACATGAAGGATGCTGTTGCTGGCCTTCCTGGGCACTTCATTTATGTGGCACGGGGATGGCGACCTCTTCAAGCCAGGGCCAGCTTCTGGAATAAACCTGGGTACTTAAAGATGACAGTAGCTCCATACAGCAGCTAAGAGAGTTGGCAAACGTGGCTGGCTTTTGCCTGAGGAGACAGGATTCAGAAGACATTTGTGCTTCAGCAGCACTGTGGTGGAACTCAAATCCGGAGTGGACATTGCTCAGCCAGAAAAGAAATGTGTTTCCTGCACCTGATACTGCAGTTGGGAACAATTTAGGATGTTTTCATTCAAGCTGGCAGTGGTTACCTGTGCATTTTTGAGGACTCGAGCCAACAGTTTGGTAAAACTGAGATCCAGTTCAGCAGTGGAATGGTCGTCTAGTACAACCACCATGCATCCTGACCCAGGGGTTGCTTCTGTGCATTTAATATCTTCCAGTAGATATATTTTCTATAGTCCTTGTGCAAACCGAAGCTCCTGAGAAGGTGCGGTGCACAGGTTAGCGTTCAGCTTTGGGAGGTTTTCATCTTCTTGCCAAAAAACACAAGTGGCTGAGTGTCACCTACGCACCAAGCTGCCCTGTCCCCCTCTCTCTCATTAATCCCCACAGCAGAAAAGGTCTAAAGTATAGGATGATGCTTCTTCTGACCTCAGGTAGAGGTCTGATATCCTGCAAAGCAAAGTCCTACAAACCATTCAGTATTTCCATTCTGCTTCCCTCTCCCCGTGGCCATCCCGGAAAGTGTGGTCCCACCTCGTTTATCTCTTATCCTTCCAACGAAGGTGTGAGACTCTCCAGACAGTCTGAGGGCCCACCAAGATCTTCCTGGGAGCTGCTGCAGGCACTCACTGCTAAATTCTTTTCTAGCTGAAAATGCCAACTTAACTTAAAAAAAATGGAAATGTGGTGGTTTCAATGACATTCAATGTGGAAATTATAGAGATGGAAATGGGCTTGGAGTTATGGTTGGAGGCAGATAGACCTGGATGGTTTGAAGACAACTCAGTACATCCCCTCAGCTCTTCTGAAGGTTTATGTAAAGCTGAATGGAAAAGCTGCAGGAGGGGTTATTACTTAGCACAGATGTAACCTCAGGTTTCTCATCCAAACTTTCCCAGAGGAGCAAATGAGACCCTTCACATGAGTTATCTCCCAGCACGTGCAGTGGTTGTGGATGCCCTTGGATTCATGGCTTTGACTGACACCATCTCACAGAATCACACACAGAATCACAAGGGTTGGAAGGGACCTCAGGAGATCATTTAGTCCAACCCCCCTGCTAAAGCAGGTTCTCCTAGAGCATGTTACACAGGACTTCATCCAGGCAGGCTTTGAATATCTCCAGAGAAGGAGACTCCACAACACCCCTGGGCAGCCTGTGCCAGGGCTTGGGCACCCTCAAAATAAAGAAGTTTTTCCTCATATTCAACCGAAACCTCTTATGACTCAGTTTGTACCCATTGCCCCTTGTCCTTGCACTGGGCACCACTGAGAAGAGTCTGGCTCCATCCTTGTGACCCCCCACCCTTGAGATATTTGTATGTGTTGATGAGATCCCCTCTCAGTCTTCTCTTCTCCAGGCTGAACAAGCCCAACTCTCTCAGCCTTTCCTCATAGGGGAGATGCTCCAGTCCCTGCATCATCCTAGTTGCCCTCCTCTGGACTCTTTCTAGGAGTTCCTCATCTTTCTTGAACTGGGGAGCCCAGAACTGGACACAGTATTCCAGGTGGGGTCTCACCAGGGCAGAGTAGAGGGGGAGGAGAACCTCCCTCGACCTGCTGGCCACGCTCCTCTTAATGCACCTCATCTGCCACTGTCCTGAGGAGGAAAGCAGCTGAGGGTCCCAATCCTTTTCAGTTTTGGAGTGAGGAAAATAGCCTTGGGGCAGGAAAGGGGATTTGGGGCTGGGGGCGGGGAGCAGCACTGTTTTACCCAGATTACAGCTGATGCTTGTTCTCATTATGTGACCTCATTACACCAACCCCATCCCTGGGGACAGGTCAGTGATTATCCCAGAGCACAGAAGGTGATTTTGATGCCGTGACCCTTTTTTGGAGGGCAAAGAACTCCTGTATATGGCTACAGCCAGACTGTGCCAGCCAGAGGGGACCCAGGCTCTGCTCAGGTTGGTCCTGCAGTCTCGCATGCAGGTGTCTCAGTGTCCACC